TCTCCTGAAATCTGTTTTAATAACTCTTTTACGTTAGATGTTTCAATTCTTGCTTTTTAGAAAACTAAAAACTGTGTTATAACTGCCTGCTCAGAGCTCGTCTTTCTGCCTAGTGGACAAGTTTCTCCTGCAGTAGCAGCCTGGGAGGGCTTCCTAAGGGCCCCAGGTAATCCCCAAATGATCTGGGTTTGCTGGTGATCCATCTGGTGGGCACACTGAAACCCTCACCTCCATCCTGTCTGTGCCCTCCTGAAATGCGATCTGCTTATCACTCTTAGACCACATTGCACGCACTGCTATTATTTATTGTGTTTTAATTGCATCTTTCTAACAGTTTAGACAGCTATTCCCATTAAGGATATGATTTGCATTTTGAGAGTTGGTTAGATGAAGTCCATGTAATAAATGGTAAATCCATGCTGTGATCTTTTGGAAAGCATTCAGTGTCTTTTCTCCCTGTAAAGTGCTCTCTGGCGCTGGAATATCAGCCCAAACTTCCTCGCATCCATTCAGCATCACTCTTGAGGGATTTGTGGTTCAAGATCTGAAACTTCACCGCACTTTGCAGCAACACATCTGCAAACCATGAGCCTGGCATTTGTCCAGCACAAGCTCTTTTCCTGATGCCTATCTGTATTTTGTAATTTTTTACACAAGCAGTTTGTAATTGTGAAGATAAACCCCTAAAGTAGGGATTTAAAATAATTACATTTATTTTTTCATCTCACATAATAGAAATAACCTGGAGAAAATAGTTCCTTCTCCCATTTTCATTAGTATCCTGACGGTACTCAGAATTCTTATTTCAGATTGTTTTCCTAGCAGTTGCAGCATATAGCCCAACCTACGAACTGTTGGAATGTCTTTTAAAAGAGTAATTATCATGGAGATAGGAATTTCAGTAGCAAAACGGAATAGTCTGACACATGGGTATGTTCTGAGATGATACTGCGTCATCATGAACCTCTTTTTGAACTATGCTGGCATTTGTCTCACCGATGAAAAACAAGCTGCTTCTGTTATGGACTATCTGGTTTATGGGTGTGGGGAAATGAGTGGCCATCTAGGTTTTGATGGTGCCACATGAAGCCCTGAAACTGATGAGAACATTCCTAAAACCAGAGCACCCATCCAATGTTTGCAGACATCGCTGGGGAAGGAGAGCCACGCGCATGGTTTCCTTGCAGCCATCACCCCAGGGGCATGGGGCAGTTCTGGGCTGTCTGCAGGACCCCACGGAACTGCTGAGGTCCGTGGCTGTGCATTTTGGAAAGATTTTTAAAACACCCCTTAACACTTGGATGGGTGCAGCTGTCATCTAATTTCTTCTGGATTAAGTTCGGTCAAGAAAGAAGCTGCCTCATTTTCTGGTTGTCATTTGCCCAGGAAGTAAAAGCAAATTGTAATGAGGGAATCACAGCAGGAGAACCTCCTAACAAATGAGAGCACATATTGACTGAAAGCCAGCATGCCATTCCAGTGATAAATGTATTTTTATACACTGCTGCTCAAGGTCACTTTCTGCTCTCATTGTGCACTGCCTGTCACATCATGCAAGTCACATTTTAATACTGAGTAATAGTAATGGTTGATGCAAAATTATATTACTGTGAGATTAAAAATTAAGTTATATATTTTATTAAGTTAAAAATTTTAATATATGTGCTTTGACTTTATCTTGATATTATTGAGAATCCATTTGAAGGACAGAAAGAAAATTAATTTAAAGATGTAAATATACTTTTTCTTGGTGTAGTCTTGAAAGTTTTACTGCAATTGTTAGTACTTTTTGAAGGAGCATTGAAATTTAATGATTAAAAGTATTGAAGCTATTTTAAGTAAATGCTGTAACATCTTACTGGGTGAAGCTGTGTAGTTTTGCATACTGAGGTTTTGTAAAATGTCCTGAATGTGCTCACACAGCCCATAGTCCTGGGAGGTCTCATGTGGCTGGCCTTCAAAGGACAATGCAACAAATGGATAGAAAGCTTTTATCAGACACATTGCTCAAACTGAGATTAGACCAAAGCTGAGTGTTCAGGAAATCATGTGTTTAGTGTGGACTGTGTGCAACATGTCCCTTCTGTATCTGTATTGTGATTACATGTTGTAAAATAAAAAAGAGAGAGGGGGGATCATTGTAATGTGGCAAAAAAGGTCGTTAAGTGGGGCAAGGCAGACTGTGGCTCTGATGGGGAAAGGCTGTGGGCTGGTGTGGGCTGCACTGGGAGGTTCTCTTGTTCAAATGCAGAGGTTAATTGAGTTCTGAGACACTGTTTGAGATTAATATGGAACTTAGAGGTTCTGTGGTTATTCAGAACGCATCACAGAATTGTGGAATCATTAAGGAAAAGAATTCTAGGATCCCTAAGACCAGCCCCAATCCATCCCCACTTGTGTCCCAAAACGCCAAACCTGCACAGTTCTTGAACCCCTCCAGGGGTGGTAAGGGTGGGAAGAAAGTAGAGGGAGAGTTAACCCTTTTCATTTCATTTGTTTTTTTAATAGCACCTTCAACACCTTTCTTTTTCTACCTTCTTTTGGTTGTTGACTGTCTTCCCTCAGTCTTTGCGTTTAGCACAGTGAATTTTGTAGTTGCAATTTATTTGTGCTCTTTTTATTGTGTTGTATTTAGGCCAGCTTTCTGGAGCATCTTTAGGAGCTGACTGTGGCAGTGCACCTCAGAGTCATCTCCTTAATTTCCAAATAACCACCATTCCTTGTGCAGGGACTGTATCCCGTGCAAAAATTGGAGCTGATACTTTCATGCTGTTCCAGGTGAAAGCAGTCAGAGCTTTTAATGACAGCTCTAAGCTGGGACAAACCCAGTGCTTTCTGCTTTTCACATGGTACCTGCTAGAAGTGTGGTGCTTCTAGGGGTGCATCAGGCATGCTGCATCCTCAGTGAGTGATTGTTTTTGTTTCATTTTAGTTAAGGTACCCCAAGGGACTGGGGAGATAAATATCTAATAATAAATGTAGTAAAATATTGCTATGTCTCTATAGCAGTATATATGTTACTTTATCAATTTAAAGTATGCATTCCAGTATTTATTAAAATAAAATTGCCACAGTGATACAGTGCTTATTTTTTATGTCACCTCTAACAGAATAATGCAGTTCAGTGGAGGGTTTGCCAAATATTGGACTCAGAATTAGGTTGTCATAGCCTCAGTATATCATGTGTACAGGACAGCAGCGGTGACAGGTGCAGAAGTCAAATAGTCTCCCAGGAGCGTGCTCCCATTAAAAAACAATTGCTTGGGCAGAGGGAAGCTCCAAGCAGCTGCACTTTGTCCCACCCTGTCTGCCGTGCAAGATTCAGACTATTGCCAAACCAATACTGCACAGATTTTATTTAAATAGAAAATAATTTTTATTATGCACTATTACACTTCAGAGCACTAAAAAAAAATAATGCAAAGAGGCAATGTGTTGCCATGTGTTCCTGCTGAAGCGCAGCCATCACAGCCATTAATGCAGCATTCAGCACGGTGCCAGCCAGGGGCAGTCTGAGCTCCAAATGCATGGGTGCAAGCAAAATATTTTGAATGAGTAGCAATAATTTCGTTTTGTTATTCACTTTGCCTAGGAAGCACAAGATGTGCATTGCAAAGTACACATTTAGGTAGTGCACTAAAAAATAAATCTTGGCTTGAAAGGATTAGCATCAATTAGAGGAGCACTTGCTTTAAATAACAAAGCACATTAATTCCCTTAAGGATTGTACTTATTGGAACACATTTTCAGTAGTTAAGAAGAGCAACAAGTGTGCAAGTACTATTGATTTTCCACCTTTGTATTACCAAAACATTTTTTATTGACAAGTATTACTTGCTTGTTAAGTGCTGCAGTTTGATGGGTCTAAACATTGGATCATCTAATTAATTCCCCTTTCAGATCTTCATCCTAAGCTGTAGTGATTACCTTGAAGAGGTAGGTTTGGGGTTCTGTTAGACTTTACTCAACTTACATGATGCACGATAAATACATTAATGGATTGTTAATATAAGCCTTACTTTGGGTGCAGTGTGCCGTCTCAGTGGCTTCGCATCTTTTAGTGTCCTGGAGCTGGCTGCAGGAGCACTTTTGTTTTCATGTGCTTTTATTTTCACAGCCTAGTTTTGGTCGATGAATGTTACAAAGTCTTTTTTCACACACTGCAAGTCCTGCCAATTTAAAATTGGCACGGAGCCTCTTAATGCAGAGAGAGCAGCTACTGTGTATTCTTCAAAGAAATACTCTGTGAGCTTGTTACTAATGTCTTCGTTATGGTAATCCAATAAAAGATGGTATTTTAAGGAAATTGCCCTCCTATCTCCTGCAGGAACCAAACTCTGAAGTTCCTCTAGCTCTGCAGAGGTGTTTGCCAATAAACCTTAGATAGATTTTGTGTGCTTTCCCAATTTGTGTCATACTTTTGATTTGAGACCTAAGATACAATGCTGAAATAGGAGGAAGAGACTTCTGCACATAGCACTTGCTGTTTTCTGACTGTAGGAGTTTGATGAACTCTTCCAGAAACTTTTTCCAGAAGTCCAGATGCTGCCCCCATCCCTGGAGGTGTTCAGTGCCAGATTGGATGGGGCCCTGGGCAGTCTGGTCTAGCATTAGGTGGGATGGTTGGTGGCCCTGCATGTGGCAGGGGGGTTGGAGATTCATGATCCTTGAGGTTCCTTCCAACCCTGGCAATTCTGTCACATTGGTGTTTGCTTACAAATCTGTTTCAGCGCTGCTGTGGTGCCGAGTAAGGAATGCTCTGTTACTGCTCTTAGAACTCAGAATCATTAAGGTTGGAAAAGGCCGTAAAGATCATAGACTCATTAGAATTGGAAGTCACCCTTAAATGCCATCTGGTTCAACTCCCCTGCAACAAACAGGGGCATCTATGGCTAGATCAGGTTGCTCAGAGCCTCGTCCAGCCTAGTCATCAGGTCCAGCTGCCCACCCATCACCACCATGCCCCCTAAACTGTGTCCCTAAATGTTCTCTCTTGGCAGACAATCCATGGGCACAAGGGGCCGATCACAGCAGTGGCCTTTGCTCCTGACGGCCGGTACCTCGCCACCTACTCCAACTCAGACAGCCACCTCTCCTTCTGGCAGGTAAGTGCCTTGCTGCAAGCCTGTGTCCCCTGGAGGGTCAATGCAATCTGCCCACCTTTGGTTTTGTTCTGCATCATATTTTTTCTATTCTTATAAAGTACGGGTCTTTTACTATTTATACTTAGACATGCCTTGCAGTTATCTCCCTGTGAGGGATGAGGGCTTATGTGCATACAAATCAGTTTGTAAGTTCAGAGCAGTCAGACAACACACTGCCCTGTTTGCTGTTTGAATCTGATCCTGTTGTAACACTTAAGTTTTACACACCTAAAACATCTACCTGATTTAGGTTTAGGTTTAGGGCCTTGCAGGAGACCTCCAGCCAGTTCTGCCAGAACTGCTGCTCCTGCTCTCACACTGTCCCATCTCCTAGTAGGAATTTTTCTTCTCTGACTTCTGGAAATGAAGACCTCAGTGACATTTTTCCATTTCTTGGATTCAGCACAATGCAGAACTACTCAAGATGAACACTGGTCCCGTTACTGCTGTGCCAAGTCCTGCTCAGTGGACACAGCTGCTCTACCTTGAGCACATCTCCCTTGGCTGCCCCTCACACTGTGGAGCCTGGAATTTCCATAACGATGCAGGGAACAGAAAGGCTGAGAGAAAAACAATACAAAGGTCTGAAATGAGAGAAACTGAGGATCAGGTCAACATTCTATGCAGTACCTGGGGGTTTATTTTTTTAGTGTAGGAGCAGTCTTTGTGATCTTATCTGTAGAAATACTATTTTGTCAACAGTGGATAGGTGTATAGTAGCTTGGTGGGACAGATGAGCACACAAGAGGCTTCACTGGTGCTTACATTCCCTCACCAGGAATTTTTTCTTCCTTTAAAGGACTTTAGACTTAAAAACTGACCCGATCAAGCAATTTGTGCAGACTATCCAAATAATTTAGCTTTGCAGTAATCAGACTATATAATAGAACTCAGTACACCTGTAATTATTAGTTAGTTTTTAACATATTCCCCTAGTTGTCTGATGCCTTTCATTATTTTTACAGGTGCCATAATAATTATTAAATTATTATCCATCACTGTATTGTGTATTTTCTGTAACAGTAAATGGGAACAGCAAGAATCTTCATCCATCAGTTACACTTACTCGATTTAAGTACTCAGGGAAAGTCTAGAAAGCAATCAGAGCAGGTCATGTAAAACTGGCAGGAAAAAAAATTCAGGCACGTGTTTTAAATTGTGAGCTGCCACATCCTTCCAGGTGTATAAATGTTCACGTTGAAGTGGCTTTTACATAAAGAGTTAAATATACCTACACATTTAGTTTTAAAATGTGACCTCGTGCACTAGTGATTTTTTTTCCCTTCTGTATTCCATTTGGCACTATTATTAATGCAGGAAAATCAGTAACATTAGTCATCTTAAAAGGGTTATTACTCAAGATGATTTAAATTGTGAAAATGTCAGTGGTGCGTGCATGCTCCCTGCTAGAGATGCCATGATTTACACTCTCTGACACCATTCTGCTGCTGAGAAGAGCCAGGAAAAAGTAATGGCTTGTACTTTGTCCTGATCAGAATTCAGAGCGTGGGATCAGCAGCAGCACGACTGCCGTGTCCCAGGATTTGCCAGGGCTCCACATGGCACGCTCAGGAATACGGCACAGTGGCCGTCTGCCTGCTCATGGGCTCCAAAGGAGCGCCGTGCCTGAGGGTTTTCCAAGTAAAGGAGTGCTCGTAAGGCATAGGGTTAAGCAGCTCGTTTTTAAACCATGGAGCTAGGCAGCACATATCAGCAGTAACAGGTCTGCTTTCTGGAGAGTGGAATTCAGCAGATTTCTCCTGAGTGCTTTATTTATCTAGCAGAAAATAATAAAAATTTGCTTTTTTTCTGCAACTATTGCAGAACTATTGCAACTATTACGATGATTCTTCCTAATCTTGCATGACTTCACATTTGGTGTTCTAATTATTTTGACAAAAATATTCTAGCATAGATATAATCTTAATAACTTTTCATGTTTCTCTTTAAAATTTGAATAGAAACCTTTGATTATAAAGACCTACAAATGAAGTGTGAGATTTTTCGAAGTAGTAAATAAACTGTACAATTTTCCCAGCTAATTTATTGATTTAAATCTCACAGTTCAACTTGAGAAAGGCACAGGCAAGGAGAACAATAATTAAAAAAAAGATATGGGGCAAGCAGTGAGCTCTGAGCAGGCTGCTCTGGTGGTTGGCAATCCTGCACATAGCAGGGGGGTTGAAACCAGGTGATCGTTGTGGTCCTTTTCAACCCAGGCCATTCTGTGATTCTTTGAAGTGGTTCTTGATTGCTGAATGTAACTGAGTTCTGTGCGTAGGAGGGAAACTTCAAGTTTTTGACTGTCATTTACATTCCATTTAGTCATGCAAACCAGTTTCCTTTCTCTCGTGTTGGAAGGATAAGCAGGTGCACAGCTTTGGCAGTGTTGCTCACAGTGCCTGCTGGTAGCACCGTGAGCTCCCCACAGAGAGCAGCGCCATGCACCTGCTGGCTTTATTCAGCCTTTCCTTTTGCAAAGCTGCGTGCTGTGCGTTAACACCACGATGCTCAGAACCTGGGCACTGACAGCACTGCATCGCCCCATCCGGGTGGGTCTGGCAAAATGTCACTTGGGCCTGATCTGGGTGGGCTGGGAGGCCCCTCACCAGCAGCTGTCTCTGCAGATGAACACGTCACTGCTGGGCAGCATCGGCATGCTCAACTCAGCACCCCAGCTGCGTTGCATCAAGACCTACCAGGTGCCCCCCGTCCAGCCCGCGTCCCCTGGCTCGCACAACGCCCTGCGCCTGGCCCGCCTCATCTGGACCTCCAACCGCAACGTCATCCTCATGGCCCATGATGGCAAGGAGCACCGCTTCGTGGTCTAGGGGAAGCTGCCTGAGCTGAAATGCGTTTGTCAGAACTCCGTGTAACTCTCCCTTCTTTGTTGCTGTCCTCTGGTCACAAGGCAGGACCAGCCAGGTCATAGCTCTGCTTGCTTTGCCAGGTCACAACCCTGCCCGGTTTTCCAGGCTGTAGTTTTGCCTGATTTGCCAGATCATGGCTCTGCCTGGTTGGCCAGGCCGTGGTTGTGCCTGGTTGGCCAGGCCGTGGCTCTGCCTGCCTTGCCAGGTCACAGCTCTGCCTGGTTTGCCAGATCATGGCTCTATCTGGCTTGCCAGGTCACAGCTCTGCCCATTTTGCCGGGCTGCGGCTCTGCCCGCTTTGCCAGACCATGGCACCAGCTGGGTTCTCTTTGCAGCAGGGTGGGGGATGCTGTGGTTTTTGGGAGGCCCAGTCCCACCCTGACTGTGTGCCGTGGCCTGGCCGCTGGCTGCTGGCCCCATGCTGGTGGCCTGGTTCCACGTGCTCACAGAGCCTCTGTGGTTTACCAAAGGCCCTGTTTACATGTATTCCTTCTAGTGACCACTGAATGATCACTAGGCGGTGTGTCTTAGAGGGTTCTTAATAAGGGCCTAATTAATTGGGGATAATTAGTAGCTGAGTGTGCAGGAGTTGAATGGCCTCTGTTCTGAATGGAAGGGGCACATTTCCTCAGAAAAAGACAGTTCTTGAGGAATTGAAGTGCTGCTCTGCTCAGCCATTGCTTGCTGTAGTCTGGAATAAAGGATAACAATTCACATGTAAATAAAGAAAATATCTCTAAGATTGATTAGCAGACTTGAACAGAGGAGTATTTATATATAAAGGTGTTTTTTTGCTACCAATGAAGGTATTTATTTTGAAGAAAATAAAAAGCTTTTTCTTCCCAAAGCTGCTCCCATTTGTGCTGGATCCCACGTGGAAGCTGGGCTGTGGTCTGGTGGCTGCAGGGCCACTGTCCTTCACCAGAGGAACGTGGGGTCACAGCAAGCCCTGGGAGGCAGCACAAATGGTGTCAGTGATTAACAATTCTGGCAAGAAAAACTATGAAAGATAATAAGTTATTTGAACAGATATACTGAGACCATTTCTTCAGTAGGAATATTCCTGTGTAATGTTAGCTGTGACTGTGTTTCCTTCTTACATATCTAATTCTGTGAAATATTTAATCATGTGAAAGTATGCTGGTTTATGCTCACAATAAAGCAAAAACAAATCTATGAAATACTATTTTATTTAAAAATATTGATGTATATGTTTGTATAGCTTTCTCTTTGCCATTTTTGTCTGAAAAGCTCGCAGAAATAAGGAGGCTGTCTTTACGTGGTAAAGTAAAAAAGGTACTTATAAAATCCTCCCTTCCCCAAAAAGGAATAAATTAATTTATAAAACGGCTTCTAAATTTAAACAGCATTGATTTCTTTTTAATTTTTTTTGTTGAAGTTGGTCTGTGTAGTACATTGTAGATGAAGGTGAGATTTACAGCCCAGGAAGATTCATATCTGTTTGCTGTTTGAAAATTAAGAAATACCAATAAAAAAGAGCAAGAAATTAAGACCATTAGGAATGTTTAACACAAACTGCCGTAAAATTTAATCCTTTTATCTGGCAGGAATGTAGTGTATAGTAGAGAACACTGTTATAGAATATCAGGGTCTTTTTTCAAAGTGAACTAACACAACATGCATGTACATTGTGTTCGTAAAGAAGTGTATGTAACTCTGAAGGTTAAAGATAGGAAGAAGAACGAACAGAGACCTTCCATCTGTAATCTGAAACACTGCAGCATTAGGTTTGGATGCACAAGGAGAGTCAGGATGCACTGTAAGCATTCCCCCGTAGGCGTCCTGGGATCCCATCAGTTACATTAGAGTAGGTTCCAAGATGTGTATGTGTTTACTTTCAGAAACGAAACACAACCCCCATGGGAACGGTGGACCATAGCCCTCCAATGATTTCCTTTTGTGGTATAGTGAGCAAACATCTTGAATTATATATGCGTTAAAATGTTTGATTTAAGCTAGAAGTGTAATGGATTTTCTTAAATGCAGAAGAGAGGTCGTTCCTTTCCTCCCAGTGCTGCGGGTCAGCTCCAGCCCCACTGGGGTCCAGGATCCATCAGTGGGGCTGGACACAGCCCCCACTGTTGTGACTTCGTTTGCCCCAGTCCTCAACTTCACAGCCTCGGTCTCTCAGCACTGCAGTAAAATTTGTATTGTCATTCCAGTGTAAGCTTTTAGTGCTTTATTGATTTGTTAGTACTGTATTTGGACTTGTCCTTGTAAATGTGGAGACGTATGTGGCTTCATTGGCAGTTTACAAGCAAAAGATGACATGATGAGACACCTGTATGAAAGTGTTGTAATGATGGAAGTCACCATGTATGGTAAATGATTGAAGTGTCTGCCTCTCAAGCAACTTCAGGAGTCCACTCCTAGTCTGCTGTATGTATACTGCATACCCTGGTGTAAATATGCTTGTGAAATAAATCTGAACTGTATCGAAGACCATTGCTGTTATGGCATCAGCCAGGTGGCATGCAAATAATTCCCTGCCTCTGATTTATGAATCATAAGTTTTTTCACCAAGTTTTTTTTTTTTTTTTTTCATTTGAAAGGCAGCTTACGTGATGTCCCATCTGTTGTGCTGGGAGGACCTGCAGCCTCAGTACAGAGGGAGGAAGGTGTTGGAATGAAGTTCTTGTAACTCCCCAGCAGTGTGGCTAAAGCACACAAAAGAATTGCAGTCTTCCAGAAATTCACCAGCACCAGTGTTTGCAAGGTGATGCTTTCCTTGTCAGCTGGTTCAGATTCCTCTGAAGAGGGTAACTGATGCAAATAGCAATTTCCAAAAAAATTTCCTAGCGTGGAATGCAGGGTCCTAAGAATATTTAAGGTGCACTTGCAATACAGATTATTTTTTAAAATTGCAATTGCTTTCTGCTTGCTGAAGAATTCTAAGCAACGTGGGGCTGCTGGAGGTGTGCTGCAGTGTGCTAGGACACCAGGGATGGTCTGCCCGGGGTCAGACGTTACCAAATAATCCTTCTAAACAAAGCAAACAGCAAGGAAAAAAAAAAAAAAAAAGCAGCAACACAAAGGAATTCGGTGAATCCTCGGTTTTCACAGTACACGAAGGTGTTAAAGTGCTGGTGGCCCCAGGATTTCCTTTTAGGTGAATGGCACCCGGTGTGGGGGGCACGGTGCTGGCGGGGGGCAGAACTGGGCAGAGCTGGGTGAACTTTCACCTTTCCCCTCGCCGCTGACAGCGCAGCTGAGTGGTGAAAAATCAATACCTGGGAGCCAGGAGGGAAATATTTCCAACCTCTAACTAGAGAATGTATTTTGACAAGGCCAAGATAATCCAGGCTACACAGGAGAAAGAGAAAAGAAGACTCATTTTTAAAGCTTGACACTTCAAGGTGTTTTTGTGCAATGCTTTAGAGAGCATCGATACGTACAAATACCAAAGGTCAAAAAGAAAAGCCAGAAGAATTTCAAAAATTAGATGTGCTGGGTTTTGCTCTTTACTTTGCAAAACATAAACTGTGATTTGTGCATAGGAATGCTCAAATGTAGGCAACTCAGTGAGCTTGGAGCTACAGTCTCCTCATTTAATAGAAATGAAAATATGCCAGAGCCTATATTGTACCTTAAGCAATTTGCCTATAAAAAGTACATGCCTATTTCCTGCTATATATCTGCATTCAGGGACATTAATTGTTTTTGATTCGGCATGATTGCATTTTGATGCCAAAAGATCAATATTTTTTTCATTTATGCAGCATCATTTTTTTGATAATTTAATATCTGGCTGTGCGCTCGAGTTCTGCAATGAAATGACCAAAAGCTGCTGCCGGGTTCAGCTGAGAGCCAGGGTCGGAGCAGCACGTCCACGGTGCCACTGCTGCGCAGTGCCTTGCTCCCTGTTCTGCTGCTGGATGTCACAGCTGTGTCTTAGAGGGGCAAAATCCCATCACGGGCAGCATCGCCTGATGAATGTAATCCAGAGCACGGAGGCAGAGGAAGAGCCAGATGAGATCAATTGTGAAGGTGCTCTCCTTTCCAGCTTAAAAGAGCATGCATTAAGGCTGGGGGAGACGAGCCGGTCTGAGAGGTGATGGAGATAAGGAGCAATGTACTTCTACATTATTAATTGCGTATGCGTGATCACCTCCGAACTGTCACACAATATTCTGCTTGAACTGGTGCAGTAGCATTTGTCCGCTAATTAGCGGTATTTGGAACAAGATACTGGAAATGAGAAATCACCTGAGATTTGTAGGGGAAAAAGCAAAAGGAAGAAAAGCTCTGCCAGACGCATCCAGTTTGCTGCCTTTGGTGGTGAGGGGTACGAGGCCATCGCAGGTGTGACAAAGCTTCCTTCCCAGTGCCTGTTGGCTTCTGTCCTCTTTAAAGTGTGTCAGACCTGCGTGGAAACAAAGCTATCTGAAGACGCAGACCACTGAGGTCAGTGCAAACTACATCAAATGTATTGATCAAAGAGTTTTTCCTGAGACCGTAATGTTCCTGTTTTACATTGCGAGTGCGTCTTCTGGCCCATCAGCATTCCTTGCAGCTGACTCAGAAATCCATCCACACGCGTTTGGCCTCCCCAGGCAGGTGCAGGGGGGACGTGCAGTCCCTTCTGCAGCCTCCTGAGTGTGAGGACAGCACAGACAAGTGCAGAGTCAGGGCAGAGAGAGCCCTGTTTTCAACCCCACGTGAAATGGATGAAAAGGACACACGATGCCTTTAATGAAGCAGATTAGCTGCAGGGAATTAAAAACAGAGGTATGGCGCATAGAAACATGGTCAGTGGGGATGAGTAGCGTTTGGGTTTGGTGACTTTTGAGGTCTTTTCCAACCTTAATAATTCTGTGAAGGGTAGAGGCTATCTCCAAGCTTGCCTTTGCATGCACATTTCATGCCCGGATCCCCGGTGTCCATTGAAACCCCTGTGCAGAGAGCACGGCTTTTCTCTGTGTGGAGATGGATGCATCCATGTCTACCAATGATCTCAGCAGTGTTCTGGAGTGGGCTGAATTTGGTCTCAAAAATGCTTTTTGTAGGAAATTTTTGTAGCCATAACCCTTTTTCAAGTTAATGAGTCATTTTCAAACAAAGCAGTGTGAATGGAAAACCTTTAATATTTTTTGCCTGTAGCTTACATATTTAAAAGCCAATGTATTGGTAGCAGAAATTGGATGAGACACAGAGATGGACCAAGTCGCCTGGGTGCTGCAGGAACTTTCCTTAGAAAGCACTTAGAACTCTTAGAAAGCCCTTGCCTTAGAACTTCCTGTTCTGGTGTGGCAGAATCCAAAACCAGAAGTGTCCTCTGGCCATCGCCTCTGCCCATGCTGCCTTCAACAGCTGCACTACATAGGTCAGACCTGAGCCTTCTGTCCAGAATGAGAGATGGAGGGGCTGCTGGTGGCCAGGAGCTCTGTTTTCTGATGGGATAGGTACCATGTTCAGCTTCCAGAGCTTGCAAGAGACCCATTTTCCAGCAGTCATTCCTGAAAACGTGTGAATTGAGTCATGCCGCACTTGGAGGAGTATTAAGCAGTGATCAACACCTAGAATCCCACTTGCCCCATGAATGCAGTTAAGACATTCAGACAGTAAAAGACAACGTCCGTATGCCAGAACTGCAACACATGCATACAGCCAAGAAAATTGAGCACAACGGGAATAAGGAAAATGCTTGAGTAGGGCTATGGAGGCAATGCTGTGGAGTTGATGGCTGCACCTGGACAGAAGGCAGAGGTCTGACCCAGTGTACTGCAGTGGGAAAGTTGGGTTTCTCGTGTTTTCCAAAAAAAAAAAAAGGTGTCCCATGTGAGCCTGGCCTTTAGCAAACACCACAATCCTAACAGCAATCATAGTTGGGTCTTAACAAAAATATCAGTAAAAATATGCATTGGGCAGTCCAAGCCTTCGCTGTGATAAATTGACACTTGATGGCAATAGTTGCCTGGAGTGCTCTTTGAACAGGAGCGCTCCTGGGGAACTTCTCTCTATCTCTGATGTCTGAAAATTAAAAATTAATCTTGTATGAAAAATTAAAAGGTGAAACTTTCTGCTGCAGCAGCGCAGCTTTTTGAATGTTGATTTTGTTTTTAAAATGTAGTCGGAGTGACATCTACGGGAAGATCCTTGTTGATTGTTACATTTAGAATATATGGCTGTAATTGATTTCTGTAAATTAGAAACCAATTTGCCAAGAACCGGAGTGGCCTAAAATGTGGAAGTGGGTAGGGCAGATATTTATTTACTGCAGTGACCGATTTTAAACAGCATGTCCCAGCACTGGGGCAGGGCTGGACACCAGTGAGCTGCAGCCTTTGATGTACCTTGAGGTCAGTCTGCACCTACGAGTCTGGAGCAAATATTTCAAGACAGATTTGGTGGTAATGAACTGCAATTAAATGCACAAAAGCGTGGGGTTGCGCGGGCACCTGTTCAGCAATGCACAGCACCACCATGAAATCACAACAGAATTCTGCTTGACAGAGAAGTGGTTAAGATGTTAGGCTGTGTATGATTACTTCATTTGCAGTTTAGCCAGAAATTGGATTAAAATTCATTTAAAAGCAATTACAGGTTTATTGCAGCAGTAAGCGCAGCTATTGTTCCACCAGATGAAGCAGGTTTTTAAACCTAGATCATGTTTTCTTTATGAGAGCAATCCGCTCGGCCTCCTGCCAGCTCTGCCAAAAAAAAAATCAGGCCAGGCAAAATCGTTTTAGCAAATCATTCTTTTTCTGGAAAATGCTCTTCTCTGTATCTCTCAGTACTGACACCAGCAGCAGAGACAAAAACAGAGATATTGGGGTGAGAGGCCTGCATGGTCCCAGGTGGGACAAGATGCTCCGGCTGGAGCATCCCGTGCAGAAGGGTAGGAACTGAAGTGTCAGCTATGGCTGGAAGGACTATGTCACCTGTGGTGTCAGTTGCCAGACTTCTGAAACGTGGAGGATGTTTGTGAGGTCTGCACACAATTGAAGGACTGCCCTTGCCCTTGTTACTGGACAGATGGTAGGAAACAAGGACACAGAGGGGGTTGCCCCAGGCCAGTATTCGTCTTGTGACTGGGTGCAGGGGTTTTGCAGTGTGTGCTGAGCTCAGCATGGGAACAGGAGCTGCTTCTCAGTTCAGCAGTAACTTCTAAGGGCTGTGCATCACCCCAACCTGCAGCGTGCCCAGCTGTAAGTGCCAGCACTGCTTGAGCTGCTGGGGACAGCTGAGGCACAGCACAACACTGTCATTGTTCAGTGCTGTGGAAACTGTTGCACCGTTTGCAGATTTTTGGAGGATCTAACCTTAAAAAAAATGAACTTCTCAAGAGGCTGGATTTGCAGCAAGAGGAGCTCTTAGTTACGGAGTGACCCTTCATTGATGAGTGCCCCTCCATTGGTAAATGCCCCCCAGTAGTCTTGCTGCTGTGATGACACAGGGCAGGTTGTGCTCCCGTTCCAGGTGAGCCTCTATTCAGCACGCCCAAGTAAACCATCTGCTTTGTATCTCCTGCGCAGAGAGATGAGATGTGATGGCTGTTTCCTGCTGGCTCTTCCAGTTTGGTTTAATGAAATATGTGATCTTCATTTTTCTGCTCATGTAGGATCCTATTAAAAATATATATTATATCAAACATCACGCGAGAGCTGGAGAAACCCAGTGTAAATGCCATGCCCTCCATGTGCAGAGCCAGATGCTCCGCAGCATTTGCTGCCGGCAGAAGCACGCGTTTATCACTGAGGTGCTGCAAGCTCTGCTCTTTGTTCCACTGCAGGAGCAGAGGGCACGGAGCTGGTGCCAGCAGCCAGAGCCCAGCGTGCTCGTGGAGCCCGGCACGTGGTGAGAGGACCCTGAGCAGGGGCACGGCCATCAGCGTGCATGCGGCGCTGCTCCGGTGTGGTTTAATCACACAGAGCTATTTTAGAGAAGGAAGTGAAGCGGAACCCAGATTAGAAGCTAACCTGACATGAAAGCAATCAAAGTTATCAGCAAACCATTAAATTGCTTCCCGAAATCACGCCGCACTGCTCTCGGCGGACAGCGCCGTGGTGCTGCTTCACCCA